TACCTCAAATATAGACACAGGCATGTTGTACAGAGTTTTAACCAGGTTAAATTCGTTCATTTCTTTAAGAAAATTTGAACTTTCTGAATTTGTTTTTTGAATTGCTGTTTTATAAAATAACATTAATATGAAAGTTGACACACGTTAGAGGCGAATACTGTAAGTTCCTTATTTTTCGCGAGTGCTTTTTTCCGCGAACTCGCTCTTTAACGTCAAAACGCGAGAATAATAATTCGCAAATGGACGGTTGATCAACAGAATTTACATAGATTTCAGCACTATAAAAATGAAAACGAGTAATAATTTTTCGCGAGCGATGCTTCTCGCGAAATAACGCGGAAATTAATTCTTCGCGTATAATTAGGAATCTACAGTAAATGCACAGATATTGTAAAATAATCATAAACCGTCACGTCCTTTTTGTGTTATTCTTCAATTTGGAATCCATCCGCAAAGTATCATCCAAGACAATTTAAAAAAAAATTTGAAAATAAAAAAAACAGATAACGTAAAACAACACCAGACCATTTTAAAGTCTTAAAAAACGAACCTAGCTGTTGAAGTGTAGAACAGCATTTAGCACCACGAATTAGACATGCACATTTCTGGAATGAAGGTAGAGTAAGCAATTTTGAAACGAAACAATGATTTTTTTTAAGTACATTATTTTTTTAATATCACATTTTAATTCGAAAAATGGTGACGTATGAAGACGTACCAGAGGAGTTGAGTTGTATGCAAAACTAAGGAAGGTGCATACAAACTTTCATATGATTAAAGAAGTGAAATATCAAAACATCACTTAATCTTAAGAATAAACAAAATGACTTTGAATTCCTTCAGGATAAAGTCATGGCATCGAACATCAAGACCCGTAAAAGACTTCTACAATTTACTAGTATACGAGGGCTGTTCAATAAATAATGTCCTGAACTGTATGACAGACAATACAGATATCATATGACATTAAACTTGATTTTCTCTCATCATTGAATCTTAAATAAATTCATAACAGTTTATGTGACCACTTTACAACACATTGTTTCATCGTGAGAAGCTGGGAAACAAGGGCTATTCGAGACACTGCATTATAAATGAATGATAAAGAATCAGTAAACAAGAGCGAAAATAAAAGGTTCAATAAAGCTGCTGTAAAACTTGTTAAAAGTCCCCAAGAAATATTCACTGAAATATGTGACATTTACAGCAACCAATACCTGTTTTACAGACAAATGAGCAGGTGGATTTCAATAATAAAAAAAAATATATAATGGGCATCAAAAATGGGTACCGTGCTTGCCAACAAAAATTATAACAACTTATGTACTGTTCGCCAAATTTCAACAAATAATATTTGATGATGTATGATTGACTTTAAAACACATAGCAAATTTGATGGACATCATATCGTGAGTAGTTCATACTGTTTTTAAGAAACGTTTGACGGTAAAAAAAGCTTGGTACTCAAAGGTCACCGTATATTTTTAAAAATGAGTGAAAACGACTGCGTTTACGAAAGTCTTAACAATTATTTTAAAATTACAGTAATTGTAGTTATTCACTTTTGTTTTATATTCAAACAGATATTGGAAATGAATCTATTGCTTAAAACCCTCAAAACAAAATTTACCATAGGATGTACTTGATAAAAAAGGCGAAGGTCTGAAAAGAGCAAAGTATGCAAGAGCACAAAGACATATTTATATGCAATTTTCTTAAATATTAGTGGTATTGTAATTCAAAATCGTATTCGGGGAGACAGTTTAATTTCTGGAGGAGTCTAGAAAGCAATTTTTTGCAAAAAAATCGAAAGGATTATTACAGGAAGGATCCAGAATCAGGAATCCATTAAACTGAATTTCTTCATGACAGCGTCCAAACCCGCATGCCCTGAAGAGTAAAGGGGTTTTCGGGATAAACAGAAAGTTAATGTCTTTTCACATTAATAATGTTCACCAGATTTTTTACCTTTTGACTTGTTTCTATTTTCAAACTTGAAAAAACACCTTTCAGAAGGAAGAAACAACTCCAGGAAATCATTGGATCTGCCATGTTCCAGTATACTAAGGGTCATACCAAAAAATGAGTTCTAAAAACAATCAGAAATTGTTACGGACATGTGTTTTAATTAAAAGAGATTAATGAGTAAAATCATGAAGACTAAATCATCGAAATGTGTCTTTTGCTTCCATTTTTCTCTTTGAAATTTGTTTTGCATTTAAAAATTATGAAATTGTAACACAATGTTAAAGAAATAAATTCTGCTTATTGGTCAAACGCTGGAACTTGGACTTTATTCTCATAATTGACAAAACAGTGAAGAGAAGATATATACAGTATAATGAACATGAAATATTACATGCATGAAGAAGGGATAACAGAGTAATATCAACCTAGAGAGCTAACTCTCTCAATTATAATATCTAACAATTTACAAATCTTGCAGAGTTGATTAATATTGGTTACATTAAAAAGCATTTCAAATTTCAAAATATTTGAATTCAAATAAAAATATTTTGACAAATACATGACTATTGAGTTCTTTATAGACATATCAGTGCATTTAAATAAGTAATGAAATTCATCCTCAATGTCATTGCTATTACATAATTTACAAAGTCTGTTTTCTCTAGGGAAACAGCATGTTCCCTTGGTGTTACTCTTGTCACGATTCTTAAGAGTTTTAATTAGGCCTAAGATTTTCTATAGGTTCGTCACCTCTTAATTGGTGCTAATTTTTTATTTTCTCTTTCAAAATCTTTAGACTTAATGGAAACCCGAGTATTTCTCTATATTTTTCTATATCGAATTATTCAATACACTTCCGCCAAATTAAAAGTTTATGTCCCTCTTTATATTTTAAAGACCACTTTGACTGTCCTCTTTAAAACGTATCGAGTACATTCACAATTGCATTTAATTATGCTGTTTTTGGCATTAATTCTTTTTCGTATACTCAAGAACATCGTTCTTCTAACGTGAAAGAAATTTTGCCGTTAATGTTAAACATTTTGATATTTATAATATACCGGTATTATCTTACATCCCTTTGAGTGGCTTGACATCGGATAGAGTAATTATTATGTATTGTTTAATGAACTTTGATATTGATCGAAATACTGTTCATTAAATTATTTCCTAACTCTTTATTCTTTACTATAGGTATCACCATAATTAAGAATTTTCAGTTAAAATCAAGAGATTTAGACAACTTGCTGATTAAAGATGAGGTAAATTGTAAATACCTTTGAAAAAATAGTTTACTGCATTTCTTTTTCCTTTCAGAATATGACTAGTAATGACTTAAATGAGAAGATATTTCATATACTCTAAAACTTCAATCCCCTCCTGTCCTACCTTGATAGTTATGAAAAAACAATTTTTACAAATTCTATACAAACTTTGACACAGGACCTCAATTATACGATCTTATCAGAAAGGCCCGTCTCCGTGTACCGCTGTAGGATTCGAACCCGCGACGTAAGGATACACTCCTTACTCCGCGACTCTAGAGTCAATGACAATGATACTTACTCCCACACTCGCACCTGATCCCACCTCTATTTGTTTATATAGGGGTCGTTGTTTGCTCTGTATCATATTTGTATTGTTCAATGGACTTTTGAGCCTGAATACTCCACATATACGTATTTCATAAATGGACAATCAGGCACCTGTTGATGCTTGAAAACTGAGCAATGGTGAATAAACTTGGTACTTTATGAAAAGCATATTTAGTAGATAATAACGATTTAAATTAGATATTCATTCAATACAAAAGTCGTGCAATTGGTATAAAAGGGTTTTTGTTTTAACCTTTCGTCTTCCTTATTTGACTGTATCTAAGAATGGATAAAACATGGCAGATCTGATACCGATCTTCTGTATTCCATGTTCATTACTATTATCTCATTAATTACTTTTCTAAAAGAATTTACTTTCCAGTATGTGTAGGATCATTTGAAGCTAACTGTGTTCATCTTTGCAATCCAGGTTATTGTGAACCACAAATCCATGTATTCTGACATTGAATGTAAAAAAGTACTTAGTTGTCCTTAAGGTAAATAAATAATGAAAAATATTCTCCTTTTTGTTCAAAATCTTAACATTCTTCATAACACCCTCTATTTCCCTTTCATTCTTATCAAATTCACGACAAATTACAGAAGTTCAAAGAAAAGAGAATATTTACACAGATTTAAAACAACTATACTTGATATCATCACAACCACCATTATTTTAACTTTTATATTGGTTGTACTCGTATATTGCCTTGTGACCATCAAAGTTAGCACCAATGATAGACAATTAAGATATGATTTTTCATTTCATATTAATCATTTATAAAAAGCACATCTGACATGTTTTGAAGATTTCAAACTTTTATAGGGAGAATTTTTATATTCTCTGAACCCCGGGCTTTACATTAATATATTCACAATTTTATATTTGTGAATTACATGTTTTCGATAATACTGAAATAACTCTATTAAATTACCAAAAAATGACGTAATTTCACTAACTTTGTCATCTGTCATTTTCAAAATTATTTTGTTATTTGGATAGGCACGACTTTGATATCCTTTAATATCGCAAAGGTTTTTCATGGTCTATCGCCAAATGCAGCCCTCTCTGTAATTATTCTTTTGAAAGCAGTCCTTTGCCTTGCCTAGACACAGAAACAGTGCAGCTCATGTGAATGTATTATCTGTACATAAACTTGGTTTTCAGAGGTCTGTGATAGCTTTGCTCATAATTTGTTTAAATGGACTATTGAGATTGCATGGTCACTTCTGTTTGTTTTATTAATATTTCATTCACAATGATTTTTGTTTATAAAATAAATTATTCACTGAAATATTTTCTGCAAGTTTATTGAAGTTCATTTTAACTTTAAATGTTTGTTTTTATGTATGGTATTTTGGCTTTGAAAATTGATGATTTATTTGATGCTAATTATTTCGTCAAAAGAAAAGGATGAAATTAAGAACGAAATGAAATGGACACTTATTACTCTTCAATAATTGCGTATAATTTTGGACTGAAATTTCTTTCAACAAATGTGGAGTATCATGCTTTATACTTGCAACAATAGGGAAATGATATTTCGTCCAATAATGAAAGACCATTCATTAGACGAATAGATTTTATTCTGAATACTAGTACTCTTAAACATGTATGTATGTTAATTTTTAGAAATTCTGATAGTGCACATTCAGTCTATATCAACTGCCTCACCGTTATAGGAATGTTAAATAGTGCATTCGAAATAGTAATATGGGTATTAATTTAGTATGTATAAGTTTAAGATTATTCTGCATTTATTTACAAATAACAAGAGTTTGTTCTCAGGGAAACGTTTGCTCACAATCAAAGTAAGTTTCAAGTTTAAATGATAATTAATATTTAAAATAATTTATATATATAATTATTCAATTTTTGATAAGTTGTATAGGATGAGATAACAGCCTCCTAATAAATTTTCACATGATTATTTTACTTTTCAGTGACACGGAAAAGTGCTGCTCAGGTTATTATAAAGTAAACGATACCTGTCAAGGTAGTATATGTTTATGATATATATAAGTATGAAATGACAACACATCAAGCATGATTAAATGATTGCGAAGGTTTAGGACCCATCTTCAAATTATCAAAGCGACGAAAATAAATAAGTAAACAAATTAATAAGTAAATAAATATAGAAATAAAATTTTAAAAAATAACAAATGTGATACATTTTGAAGCTGTAACAGGTATTGGAAGGTTTTTTCAACATCGGAAACTCTTATAAAAGCTTTCTCTAGAGAAAAAAATTGAATAAGTCTAAAATTACTTAAATTACTTAAAGGTATTAGAATTTTATAGGGGTCATCAAAATTTAATCACAATATAAATTCTCTGTTGATAGAATGTATAGGATCATATGGTTTCAATTGTTCAAAGCAATGCCCTGAAGGATACTATGGACCACAATGCCGTATCAAATGCTCTTGTTCCGCCATTGAACAATGTCATAATAAATCGGGTTGTCTTGGGGAAAATTTTAGAGATCAAGGTAAACAAATCTTTTTAAAACAGGTATATACCGACAAAACGTCAGAAATACTCAAGCTGTAGAAAGTCAATCAGGAAATGTCATTAATATCCTAGAATTGTATAAGATGAGGGCTATTGAATTCAATCTTCTGTTGAATAAAATACATGTACATGAAACAAAATTCATATATTGAATTAAATTAGAAGAAATATAATTAATCGTACTACTTTTTTAGATGAATTTACGTAACACACTTTCAGGAATATTTTATAGAGTAGAGTAACGTTGCTGTTTCTTAATTTCATGAAATGATTTTTATGTAGACATTTCTTAATAGTATACCTCAAACTTTATACGATTTTTGTATTTTTTGCCGAATGACGTACATCACATTCAATATATACATCAAACTAAATAGCTTGCTATACAAGCCTGAAGAAAAGTTTTTCAAAGCAAAGTGGAAGGTGGGGGGGGGGGGGTACGGGCTAACAAACCCCCCACATGACTACAGGTTCATTCATCGTTGCAAATCAAGGTCAAAATATACGATCCTCTCCTACTCCGGACCGTGGCTTGAGACGATGGGGTTCTTCTAGCTGAGCGGCATGTCCAATACATATTCCATACGAATCCAAAAGAAACATTTGCAGGCCCGTGAAAAGCAATTCCAGTTAAGGGGTACAGCCATATACCGGTATTTTCTGGCGATGCATTGAATTTGTTAACGATGGGGTAACCTGCGTCACCTTTCAGAGTCAGTGGACTCGTCCAAGGATGCTTTGTCGGCGACTGTAGAAAGTTACCTGAGATTCTTAGGCAAAGGAAAGCGCGAAATCTCTGTATGGAAACTGTTGCGGCTGTGGAGCTTCACTCATTGTTCATTCGCCATAGAAAAGAATCCGATATTCTTTGAATATATTGATGTTTTCAAGATAAGCTTCATTTTTGTTTCTAGAAATATTTTTATCTACAAAATTAATATATTTTTGTGTTTTATAACAGAGTAAATCGATGACCTAGCATCGTTTTAGATAACTCAAGCCCTTCTAGGGCTTGAGTAAAAATCTTTTTTGTCAATTTAAAGAAACGTATTTTGATTTTTTCTTTTTATTGTCTACGTGTTCAATATTTTCAGAAAATGAAAGCTTTTTCAAAAGCCTGAAGTTACGTCACTGGGTGGTCCTCGCCGTGATTGTTCTTTTGATATTGGTAGTGAACGCCTGTTACTTTGCGTCTCCAACCAACAGACGTGTCAGGTAAACACTCCGAAGTAAGAACTTCTTTGCAAATTTTTTTTTTCCTTTTTATGTATTACTAGTACAATTCTTAGACTTTTTAAGACTGTACGAGGGACGTTCAATAAATAATGTCATCGGTGCTTGGAAAGAAACAAAAAATGATTTAGTCTTAATGATTAATCTAAAACTTCTCTTTTAATTGAAATACATGTCTGTAACATTTTTATTCCATTTCTAATTGTTTTTAGAACACATTTTTGAGTATAATTACCCTTCGTATACTGGAATATTACAGATCCGATGATTTCCTGTACTTTTTTCTGAAAGATGTTTTTTTTTTCAAGTTTGGGAAATGAAACAAGTCAAAGGTTGAAGGCACTTGCCAATATTGTTGATGTGGCAAAATATTAACTTTCTTTTTATCCCCAGAACTCCTTTTCTTCTTCATGGCATGTAGCTTTGGATGCTGTCATGAAGCAATTTAATGTAGTGAATTCCTCATTCTGGCTCCTTCAACTCATAAACCTTCTACTTTTTTGCAAAAGCATTTCTAAAAGCATTTCTTCATAGACTCTTCCAGAAATTGAAAGTACTCCCCCAATAAGAATTTGAACAATAAAACCACTAATATTGGAGAAAATAGCATATGAAATTGTTTTTGTGCTCTTGCAATTCTTTGCTCTTTTCAGACCTTTGCTGTTTTGTCAAGTGTATTTCATTGTAAATTTGTTTTGATGGTTTAAAATAAAATTGATTCAAGTTTCATTGTCTGTTTGAATTTCAGATATACATCAATAAGTACAGTTTTTTTTTAAACATAATTGTTTAGATATTCCCACATGCTATCGTTTTCACTCATTTTTCAAAATACAGGGTGACCTTTGAGCATCAAACTTTTTTACTATCAAATGTTGCTTTAAAACAGTGTAAACCACCCCCAAAATTATCTTTATCAAATTTGCAATGTGTATTAAAGTCACTCAAACATACTCGGTAATAATGTGTTGAACTTTCGCAAATATACATGGCTTTGTTACAACGCACTTTGAAAAATTACGCACTTTGAAAAATTTTTTCAAAGTGCGTTAAAATTTGGGACCAAGCTAACGCACTTTGAAAAAAATATATTTTTTTTCAAAGTGCGTTAATATCGACCATATTAACGCATTTTGAAAAAATGTAAAGATTGATCAATATTCCTTCAAATAATCGGTATGATAAATAACAGATCCTGGTTTGATAACTTTTTTATGATAAAGTCACTGTAGAACCTGCGATATTGAGGTTTTAAATATTTAAGCTTTTGATAAAATAAAAGGGAAAATTAAAGGGTCTTGAAAAAAAAGAGTGATGATTGTTTCAGTTCATTAATTCGTTTCTTCTTTTTTTTAAATTCTAGTCTTTTATAAGTAGATGTAAAGGTGTATAGGGGGCACTAACAGAGGACAGCTTCAAGCAACTTAGCATTTATCATAATAAAAAGATGCCAATTTGATTGTTCAAAACTATGAAAATTCTCATACGTTTTACTGTACTTAAAAATTTCTAGTTTTTTCATCTGTTTTAATTAACTATTTATTATTGAATGTTTTCAACGTCATACCAGTTAGGTAAATACATAATTATATGAATGCTTTGAGTATAGCATAGACATCGAGACTGGGCGAAGGGCCAGGGGAGGAGATGGGGGACTAAGCCCCCACTTATTTTGGAAAGATATAAACATAATATAAGCATTGAAAATGCAGCGTTCCCTTTTTAGGTTTAATGCTCCCTTCCCCGTTTGTTACCGACACCTATGTATTAGAAAGATAAAGATTTGGACTGAAGGATCTTATACCCGTCTTCTCCTCTTTTCGACGGGAGTAAATCAATTCATTTTTCTAGTCAGTTTTGGGGGATCAGACATTATCATATTTTACGTAACTGCTAATCAAAGCTTGTGAATCTGATCCCCTTCTTGTTTGTTAAATTGTTCACATTTATACCGTCATTTTAATAAATGACATTATTCATCTCTATGAAAGTGTTTTATTTGACTTATACAAAATTAGCAAAAACAAGCTGCGGTGAGCTTGCATATAAGCATAAGAATACATAAATTCATTTTTGAGGTTAGGGTTAGGCTTAGTTTTTTGAAAGATAAATAACAAATAAAATCTTTCCATGACTAAAAAATGATTTTTTTCAAAGTGCGTTAAGTGTCTCCATGGTAAAATATATTGATGTAGACTCTTAACGCACTTTGAAAAATTTTTTCAAAGTGCGTTGAGTTGGTCCCAAATTTAACGCACTTTGAAAAATTTTTTCAAAGTGCGTTGATTTTGTCCCAAAATTTAACGCATTTTTCAAAGTGCGTAATTTTTTCAAAGTGCGTAATTTTTTCAAAGTGCGTTGCCACATGGCTTGTTGTAATTCCTTATCGCCAAGGACGGTACCAATTTTTGATGCTCATTATATCATTTTTGTTTATTGAAATTCACCTGCTCATGTATGTATAAAACAGACATTGGTTGCTGTGAATTTCACATATTTCAGTTAATATATCTTTGGGATTCTTAACAAGCTTTACAGCAGCTTTAATGAAGCGTTTAATTTCATTCTTGTTTACTGAGTCTTGACTATTCATTTTAAATGCAGTGTCCTTATTTTCCACTTCTCACAATGAAACAAAGTGGCCACATAAACTGCTATCAACTCATTAAAGATTCATTAATTAGAGAAAGTCAAACTTAGTGGCATATGATTTTTTTATATTCTATGTCATTGAGCTGATGACATTATTTATTGAACGTCCCACGTATTAGTCATGTTAAACTAGAAGAAAGTTCTCTGGTATATGAAAGGGCAAAAAGTCGATTATACAACTTTTAATAAGATAATATTAATAAAATAGCTCTCTCTGGTACAAAATATTTGGACAGAAAAACCAGACGACATAGTGTAAAAACCATCAATTTACGACAACGATTTTTGTTGCTTACTTCCTGTATTATACATGTATGCGTTTCCTCACAGAAGTAATTTTATAGTTAACCATATTTTGCTGAGACTTTGTTTGCCACTTAACGGTTACAAACAGCTCTAGATGACCTTGAAATGTCAATCTTTAAAATTCTCATTTCCATATATAGACCATACAACTTAATAAATGCTGAATTTTTGCTAAAATACTGGGCCCTTTGGGTAAATAGGGTATCGAACATAGATATAAAATACATGATTACTGTCTTGAAATATAAGCGATATTTGGGCGAGGGTAAGAAAACGTGATAGAGGGCGAGGCTTGCAGAGCCCTCTTACGTTTTCGACCCGAGCCCAAATGTCGCTTATATTTCAAGAGAGTTATCATGTATTTTGTTTATCTTGCAACATATTCGTTACATTTGAACGTCCAAAAACTAGCTATTTTCGACAGATTTAGGCACATCGCTGCAGTGGAAACTGTGACACCATGGTGTAAATATTGCGGTATATGTGACGTCACAATGCTTTTAGAAAATCGGAATACATGCACGAGGCTTTATTAGGTCAGTGACGGGATAAGGCTTTGGTTTATTAGGTTACCTTTATTAGTTCAATGCGAGGGGTGGTTACAGGATAAGATTTAAATATATGGTTTAATAATAGAGACCCACATGCCTTTTAAGAGGCAGAAAGCATATATTACAAGAAATAATACATACCCAAAGCTAGCCAAAATGTCGCCGTAAATCTAAGGTTTTTACAGTGTTTTTATCTGTAGCTCTCTGGTCGGTCTGTCCCGTATTTTTTTCAGCTAGAGAGCTTAGTTCTGCAGATAAATTAATATAATATTTCTGTTTAAGAATAAGAGAAAGACCAGAAAGAAATAACTACATCGACCAAACTCTTCCCCAACCAGCCAGTGAGTATCTAGGCATGAATGTGACATCATGTGCGTCAACTGCATATCCAGTGGTTTCATTCCAAACAAAGCCAATTGAAGATACTTCAGATTACATTTGATGATATCATTTATGAATCTAAGACGTATTATGCCTATTTGCTTTATATTCCTTCTTATAAATGTTTTGCACAGATTTCTCATAGGCACTTGGGGTATGGACCCCCCCCCCTTTTCCATTTTTCTTTCTTTTTAAATCAGGATTCAAGTCATCTTTTTCCTCTTTTTCTATTCTAATATGCACTATATGTTATCAAAAATGCAACTCTTTTGTTTCTACAAGCTGTTTTTAAAATGCTGTTTTCCACTGATGCATATAAAGAGAGAAGGCTTGCAACTCTTTTCTAGTCATCCGCCTCACCTCGCTCAAACTTCGCCCGATTATCTATCTAAATCAGTATAAAATATGGGATATGCATACATCAATAAATTTGTTATAGTTTTACATTCGTCTTCCTTTTCACATTTCCATTTAATTTTTATATGCCCCCGATTTGTAAATATTTTGATGAAATCACTCGCATCTAGGGTAATTTTTTTCATGTGCACCAACCGGGACGGAAGTACCAAAGAACGATAACTCTATTTTACAAATGTCCTGCATTATAAAAAATTCAGGATTTGTAATAACAATATTGTGATATTTGGCTGATTATATCGTGTGTTAAAAGTGAATCTGTATCCATCAGAATCTACTAGTTACAGCTTTCTTGTGATATATCGAACTTACCGTTACATGTAACATGAAGAGAAAATTCGGGATTGAATCCCTCTCGAATTTTATGTTCCGAATAACATTTATTCATTATGATGACGCCCGAAAAAACCGGGTACTTCCGTCCCGGTTGGTGCACATGAAAAATTTTACCCTAGATGCGGGTGTTTTCATCAAAATATTTACAAATCGTGGGCATATAAAAATTAAATGGAAATGTGAAAAGGAAGACGAATGTATAACAAATTTATTGATGTATGCATATCCCATGTTTTATACTGATTTAGATAGATAATCGAGCGAAGTTTGAGCGAGGTGAGGCGGATGACTAGAAAAGAGTTGCAAGCCTTCTCTCTTTATATGTATCAGTGGAAAACGGCATTTTTAAAAACAGCTTGTAGAGACAAAAGAGTTGCATTTTTGATAACATTTAGTGCATATTAGAATAGAAAAAGAGGAAAAAGATGACTTGAATCCTGATTCAAAAAGAAAAAAATGGAAAAGGGGGAGGGGGGGTCCATACCCCAAGTGCCTATGAGATTTCTGCAATAGAGAAAGTAGGTAGTTACTCTTTTTGGATATATCCTACTTTCTGATGTATTGTCTTAAATTGCCATAAAATTATAGCATTCACACTTACTCGCCTGTACAGTTTCCTACTCTTGTGTCTTAAATGTACATACTGTGTGATTGATAACGTATTTTATGTATCATTCATGTTAAATTTCGGGTTGGTTGTATCACATTTGGTCTATAACGAAACTCTAAACATGTAACTATATTCTTCATGTTTAAAAAAAATGGAATCATCATTTTATTTTTTTCCATGAATTAAGATAATATAAATGTAGGAGAACTACTGTATGTATTATTGTTTGGTTTTAAAAACTGATGGGTAATTCATAATATGAATAATCGATTTTGACCTGCAGGTCAAAGTCCAGCAAATTCTATGCATCAGCAAATGTTCACGTGTAATAAATTTCAAGAGAAACAGGAAACATAGAGTTGATCCCAATCATATTCTTCCGTCTGAGATATTCCTAGGTCATTTGTTTTTAACTCATTTGTTTACAAGTATATAGCATGGATTTACTGTGTAACAATATGAATTTATACGATCATATATAAATATTATGAATGTAAGCCTAATGAGTTATATATATATATTAAGCATAACTTGTTTAAATTTGACAGAAAACTGTACAGGTGTTATATTCTTATTGTACTTATATAATGTCATTGTTCAAACTGGTTTTAGATAGCAAATTCATTCATGATTTGCAACATGATTTTGTTAAAATATTCTGATTGTAAACTTAAGTACATTGAAGTTGATATTGAAAAGATGCTTAAAGTTTCTGATCGATAATATCTATGTACGAGTTTTTGTATTGGATGGACATATATGTCTTCCAACAATTTGTCGGAATCCCCATTTTCTGCCGCTATGAGCAGCATTTTACTTGTATTTATATGGAGCAGAATGGTCATCTATTCAAAGCATTATATACGAGGAAAGGGGGAAATTGTCGTGGTCTGGAAATAACAATGGTATACTATCAAATACCAATAGTTTTTTATTAATATGTTCACTCGATATATCCCAGTGAATAAAAATTCCACATCTGGTATATAAGTTTCATATTTGGACATTCTACTAAGAAAAGACATTAATTGTAATCTTATAACAAAGCTTTGTGATAAACGTGAAGACTTCATTTTTCCTATCAACTACTCTTTCTTGTGTATCAAAACACCCTATTTACCTTATATTGGTTTTATGTCTCTAATTTAAAGTTGGCTCGATATGCAATTGGTCATTTTTATGTACGCATAATATTGAACTCGAGGCAAGCTTTTGACAAACAAGTTGATGAAGCAAGGATTTCAACAGTCTTGTTAAAAGTTATTATATTGCAAGTTCTTAGTTCGATGCAATGATCTTGTCGGCAAGTACAATTTATTGTAGAATCGAATGATGTTACAATTGCTAAACCATTACTTACACAGTTAATTGTATATGGATTTACCCTTCTGTCCAAAAAGGAACATGAGCACACGGCGAGTGAGAGCTGGAATGCTTTCCCCTCCGTAGTACCAAACCCGACTCACGTCTTATGTTTGAGAGTTACGTGTCTCCTTTGCTATGGATTTGCATTGTTTAATTTGACTTTTGGCTTCAAACTGAATGGACTGTCCAGTGAATGTATCCTGTAGTCAAACCAGTATTAAATTAACTTTTGTGCAATCTTAAATACGTAAACGTATTATAGGAAAAGAAAATCTAAAACATCGCTATTACAAGCAAAAAGCATTTATTTTACGATTGAACTATTGCCTGAAATCCATCATTGAAGAATTAGTATTAATTTATGTCCGTCATCCAGAAACCGTCCAGGTGAACAAATCATCTACATCTATATGTGTATCATTTCTCTTTTACGATAGACTAAAAAGCGAAGGACAATTCCGAATTTATACAAGTACTTAAGAAAACTTATTTTCAGTTGTTTTTGTCCTGAAAGGTGAAAATATACTTATTTCTACACTGGACCAAAAAGTTCTAGAGTTCTGAGTTGATACAACACTAGCAATCGATTTCCTTCTGAACAAAGCTTATTTCTACATCGCAAAAACTCAAGTAATCAAGAAATTTTGAATCAATTTTATATTGTTATTTTCATACTAAGACTTCAAAAAATACACAGCAAAGCAACATTACTTTTTGTTGTTCCGGGTTTATTGCAATAAGTTATGGTACCTTTCAACTCTTTTATATATTAAATAAAAAGAGTTTTACTTAATTTCTAGTGTAGCTACAGCAAGTAGCGCAAGAAAAAATCCTTCAAAGTTTCAAAAAAATTGCCAAAGAGTTCAAATTAAATTTTTGAAATTAATATGTTTCGATGGTTATTCTAGTCATTTTATACATTTTAAAATGTGCACATCACACCTACAATTGTTGAATAAGATTTCTTTGTGAAGTTTTTTTCAGATTTTTGCAAGAACAATCACAAAAAAACTATAAAAACGTACACTCTTTTCCTATAAATATAAGAAATCAAAAATACTTACGAAAGTATATCTGAAAAAGATTAACTATAATTTATTGGTAAATAATATTTCTTTCTGTAGGTAAATTGGAGATCATAAACCTTTATATTGAAAACTATTTTGTCCTTCAGTCCATTCATCTGTTTTTACTATCAATTGTTTCATAATGTACTATTAAAGAAGTTTCCAGAGCAATAAGCAAAAACCTTTTTTATTCGATTACATATCAATTTTTTTATTTGAAAATAATAATGAAAAGTGTACAAAAGAAAATAAAGACAATTTAGACAATAAAGACAAAGAAACCTATGTTAATATGAAGAAAGAAAAATAAAGGGAAAATTTGTTGAACCATAATAAAGTCTAATCACTGATGTATAGATAACTCGATATAATTTCGAAATTGCAAATAGAGTAATTGCGCTTTTCTCGAAAAAATAAAATAAAATATTAATTTAAATTTGCTGAAACAAGTTGCCCGAAAAAATATGTTTCTTTATACATTTACATGTATCTAAAATATTTTCTTTAGGGATATCTGATCCTCAGTCAGGAAGGATAGCACTTTAAATTATGGTTTATTTAAAAAATAAATCGTCTCCAGCGTGGTGCAGTGATTATCTAGAGCGTCTGCTCTAGAGTCGAAAAACAAGTAAGATACGTCGTGGGTTCTAATCCCACTGTGGGACGTGGAGACCAATCCTTCAGATGAAACCGTGTAAATCCAGGTTTAGCTGTTATTTGAGGAACATACCGTGTTGTATAAGTATAAAGAAAAATATGCAATATTTTTTCAAAACATGGTTACATCATTTTTTTTTTAAATTCTAAATGTATTTGTTGTTCAAATTTCAATTAGAAAATGCACAGTGACTGTTTTTATTCGCATTTTCCAGGATAATTAAAAGAGATTTAGTAATATAGTATATTGAAAATATTATTAACTTTAAAGATAAAGTTTGAAAAATTACCATGGGTGAATAATCATTACTTGGAAAATTCAGAAACGTTTTCATGAGAATTTTCAAATATTCAATTCCTGATTTTCAGAACCAGAAATGTATGTTTCGATTATCATTACAGAAGTTATGTTTGATAAGGCTTGAATTAAAATTCTAATTTGGAATAGGATTTCCAAATTACTCGCTCAGTGCATTGATTTGAAGGATAATCATGATCAGCTTAATGTCCTAAGTATTTTTAATTTTTGTTGTTGATCATTTTTTGAAGGTTATTTCAGTCAAATGTAATCATACCGGTCCTTATATTGATTACAAAACGTTTCTTAGATTAAGTTTCAGAAATATACTTTGACATAGAAAAAAGGAATATGATTAAGCTTTTCAATACCTAATGAAATAAA